ATAGTACTGCTGTTAAGAAGGCCACGGTACTGTAATACTACTAAAAAAAATCTGGCAATGAGGTTTCAAGTTTATTGTTTACAATTCTAACAAATTAACCTAAAACCTGGTGGCAGGTTTCTTTTGACGGCACTTACATATTGTTTCCAATCCAAATTAATCCTGTTAGATATGTGTAATCAATAACTATTACCGCTATTCTTAAAATAAAGAGGTATTATTTAACTTGGAACCAGGTGTACTATATACAGCAATGTATAGTACTTCTAATTTTTGTTTGAAACCATTAAACTAAAAAAATAAATGTGAAATCTATAGCCGTATTTAAATTTAAAACACAAAGTTAATAATAGCAAGCAATAAGATTATATCAAGATTAATTATGCAGTTAGATATGAAATTCCAACAAGTAATCTTTGAATTTATACTAAAAGGCCAAAAATAATTAGTATAAGAAAATTTAATTGAGAAAAAAATAAAACAATTACCAATAACTCTTTTTTTACAGTTTAAGCTTTTATGTAGTAAATAGATAAATTAAATATTTCTGTAAGTTATAAAAAAAATAAATAAATAAATTAAGCAAAATAATTTTTAATTTATTTTTAAAAAATGTCTAATTTTATCTTTAAAAAATATTAAATAAAGCCCTAGAACCATCCAAATTTCTGTCTTTAGCATTATCTTTTTTACCTTAACATTGTCTTTATTTTAAATATCATTCTCAAAAATAATGTCTTTAGAATCGCCTTCTAAAAAAACAAGAACAGCTATTAATGACAAATTAAAATATGATATTTGCATTTATAATGATAAAAATCCTAACCGTACATATCAGGAGATTACAGAATATTTTCAAGAAAACTTTTAAATTAGACTTAAGCATTCAACAATTAGAAAATTTTAAAAGAAAAACAAAAATAGTTAGCAGTAACTGATAATGCTAGTAATGCCAATATATATTGACACAGACAAGTTAGACATCCATCATTAGATCAAGCAATACAATTATGAATTGAACAAGTTACTAGTAAAAGATTATTTTTGTCCGAATTAATTATAAAAGAAAAGGCTAAATTTTTTGCACAAAATTTGGGTATAGACAATGAATCGCTTAAATTTTCTAATGGCTAGATTTATCAATTTAAAAAACAAAATCAGTTACAAAGTTATCATCTACATGGTGAAGCAGATTCTGCTCCTTTAGAAAATTTACCAGATCAGTGAAATTTACTATGTAATATTATTGAAGAATATACTCTTAATAATGTGTTTAATGCTGATGAAACTGGGCTTTTTTTCAGAATAACACCTAACCAAACTCTTGCAACTAAAACACATTCAGGCTGGAAAAAGGTAAATAACAAATATAAGTAAAGAGGTTATTTTGATAAATATAAGTAAAGCAAGCAATACTGTGAATAATTTTTAATGTGTATACTAATAATTATAGTATATTATTAAAAATTATTTTAATTTGTCGATTTGTTACTTTACTTTTCTCTATTTTATTTATTTTAAATAAATTATTAATGCCATATATTTTTAATTAAAAATTTTAGAATAAAACAAGAGTTTCTATAATGCTAGCATATAATGCAATTGGAACACAAAAGCTGAAGCCTCTTGTAATTGGATCCTCAATTCAACCCCGTGCACTTACTAATATTAATTATGATACCTTGCTAGTTATTTATAGAGCCAATTCTCGAGCATAGATGTGATGTGATATTTTTGGAGATTGGCTAAAAATATTAGATTATCAATTCCGTCTTCAAAACAGATATATCTTACTTTTAGTTGATAATGCATCTAGTCATTATGATCCTAATAGTATTTTACCACCCTCTGATTCTAATATTGATAGTAAAAAAGAAACTGAGTTAATAAGAACTACATCAACATCTAAAACTAAGAGTAAAAAAGTTTCTAATTTACAACAAAATAAAAGTCAAGCTCGTAATAGCCGTGATCGTTCATATACAATTCTTGATCTAACTAATCTTTGGTTAACTAATATTAAACTTCACTTTTTTCTACCTAATACTACTGCGCACCTTCAACCTATGGACGCAGGAGTAATCAAATATTTTAAATCAAAGTATAAGCATAAATATATTTAGCATTTTCTTACTCAGTTTGAACAAGGCAAAGATATAAAAGAGTAAATATTTGCAATAGTTATATTTTAAACAATTGAGTATAAATAAAAATTTATTAAGTATAACTAATATATAAACTATTTATATAGCTAATATATTAGTTATAGTTTTCTAATAAATTTTTGCTTATACTTAGTTATTTAAGATATAACTATAAATTTTTACTTATGCTTAGTTATTTAAGATATGATTACAATATTTTGTATAAATAATATTATATATTTCTTACTATTTAATTATAAAATTTTAGAAAAAAAGTTACTATCAAAGATGCAATTTATTATATAGCAGAGTTATAGAATGAAGTTAGTGAAACTACAATTATGAATTGTTGAAACAAAACTGAAATCTTACCTTCTGTAAATTATAAAGAAATTCAGCATGCAAGTAGTTCTTATGATACTTTTATCAAACAAGAAGAGGATAATATTAAATCATCAGTTGCAGAATTAGACTTAACTATTATACCTCAAGTTAACAAATATCTTGAACTTAATAATTCACAAATTTCTACTGAAGAAGTATTGGATGATACTGAAATCATTGAATTAGTATTAGCAGAACAGCAACAAAAAGAACAAGATTCTGACGATTCAGATGAAGAACCTTTAAAAATTTCAGTTTCAGAAAGACTATCGGGTTTAAAAAAATTTGTAGAGTTTTTTACACAACAAACAGATCCAAATTTTAAATCAAAAGATTTAAATATTTTCCAAAAATACTTATCTATTATGAGACGTAAAGATATAAAATCAAAAAAACAGAGTTCTATTATGGATTATTTTATACAAGCAGAAGATGATTAAAAGGATTGTTAATATATTTTAGTAAGTTAGCTTAATTTATATTTATTATCTTCGATATAATTTTTTTGTTTGTTGATTTAATTTACAAGTGCTAGTTCAGTGTGCAAGCAGTTCTTTATATTATTTATACTTAGTAAGTTAACTCTTTAATTTCTAATAATTTGCTTAAATATTTATGAATTTTATTTTTATCTTTATTTTGTGTAAATAGTTTTTTGTGTTTAGTTATAATCAGTAAGTTAACTCTATTAGTACTTAATATTAATAATAGTCTAAATGTATAAGTAAACTTATATTTTTATTTACTTTATAGTTGGTTTGGGTCACAAGTTACTAAAGTTTAGTAAGTTTTTTTATTTATATAATTTACTTATTTTATTTACTTATTAATACCGGCTTAATACACAAATTGTTATTATCTCTGCAAATTAAATTGATCTATTATAATTTAATTTCTACAGATACTAGTTTGTTTAGGGCTTGATAACTACTTATATACATCAGCAAAATTTAAAAGGTGCTATATATCGATAGTAATCCCTAGATTATAATCGATATACAACCCTTCTGCCGATTATTATCGTTAGTGATTACTAACGACATATAACAAAAAAATTCGTTAATTTTTTTTAAACTTTAATGTTAATTTTCTTG